GAAGTCGATACCTTCTTTCTAAGTGAACCCCCTAGCAACCAATCTTGCCTTGTATCTCTTCGACGTCACTCCTTCGATTCCTTCCTTAACTTTGAAAATCCATTTACAGCTGACTAACCTGGCTCCAGCAGGTTTCTTGATCAGTTCCCAGGTGTTGTTATCATGAAGAGATTTCATCTCATTATTCATGGCCTTCAGCCATTCAGTCTTCTTTCGACTCCTCATAACTTCCTTATAGTCTCTAGGTTCTTCATCTAGAACCTCACTAGCAGAGATTAAGGCGTAAGCTATAAGATCTGCATACCCAAGTCTCTGAGGTGGTTTGATGACTCTTTTTGATCTGTCTCTTGCTAGAAGGTAGTCATTATCAGTCTTCTCATCTTCGACAACATCTTCTACGTCTTCTTCGACTTCATCTGGGGTAAGCAATTCAGCATCAACATGCTCCACCTCAACAGGAATTTCTCCCTGTTCCAACTCTTCGTCAGCATCATCATTTTTCTTGAAAGCCATCTCTGTTTCATTGAAAACTACATCTCTACTGGTGATACACCTCCTGTGACCTGGCTCTAGGCACCATAACCTATAAGCTTTGACTCCTTCAGGGTATCCCATGAACATGCATTTCAGAGCTCTAGGTTCGACCTTGTCTTGCCTAATATGAGCATAGGCCACACAGCCAAATACTCTCAGTTTGTCGAGACTAGGTGGATGTCCCGACCAAACTTCTTCAGGTGTCTTCATTCCCAAGACAGTCGAGGGACATCTATTTATCAGGTAAGCTGCTGTCGAAACAGCTTCCGCCCAAAACACCTTCTTCAATCCAGCACTAACCAACATGCATCTAACCCTTTCAAGGATTGTTCGATTGAATCTCTCAGCTAAGCTATTTTGTTGAGGATACCTACTACAGTCTTATGCCTTGCAATCCCAGACTCAACACAGTAACTATTGAACGCTTCGTTGCAGAATTCAAGGCTATTGTCGGTTCTCAACCTCTTAACTTTTCTGCCAGTTTGAGTTTCGACCAAAATCTTCCAACTTTTGAAATTCTCAAAAGTTTCATCCTTCGTCTTCTGAATGAATACCCATAGCTTTCTGGAATAGTCATCAACGATGGATAGAAAATACCTTGCACCTGAGTGTGAGGGATTCCTTACAGGCCCCCAAAGATCAGCATGAATGTAATCTAGGGATCCATGTGTTCTTTGCTTGCCTTTGTTAAACTTCGCCCTACAGGATTTACCAAATACACAAGATTCACAAAATTCCAACTTTTTGACTTTGTCACCTCCTAGCAGGTTCTGCTTCCCCAATTCGACCAGGCCTCTTTCGCTGACATGGCCCAATCTCATGTGCCATAATTCTGTCTTCGACATAGATTTCGTGGATGCAACATTTGTCGAACCACTTACAACCTCAGCCTCAAGGGTATACAAGCCTTGTTTCTTCACGCCTCTCAAGACTTCCTTTGACCCCTTCATGACTCTTAGGATACTTTTCTCTCCTTGAAAAATGTATCCTTTTCTGTCGAATTCACCAAGAGAAATCAAATTTCTCTTCAAGTCAGGTACGTACCTGACTTCAGTCAATAACCTTATTGACTCATCATGGAGCTTGAATCTCACAGATCCAATACCTGCAATTTTGCAAGATTTGTTGTTTCCCAGCAGTACAAATCCACCATCTTGATCACATAGCTCCTCAAACAATTCTCTGTTTGGAGTCATGTTCCAAGTGCAACCTGAATCCATAATCCACTCTTTTCTCGAGTCGCCACTTGAAACCACAAGAACATCAGATGAGTCGAAGTCATCTTGAACAATAGCTGTATTGTCATTACCTCCATGATCTTTTAGGCGTTCAGGGCACACCTTTCTTATGTGACCCTCCTTCTTATAGTGATAACATCAAATACTAGATATTTCGCCACTATAAGACTTCTGTTGACTTTTACCTTTCTTCTTGTCGAACTTACCATCCTTTCGCAAGAATTTTCCCTTAACGGCCAAACCTTCGCCCACCGTCGAAGGTTTATGCTCCTTTCGTACGTTCATGTCCTTAGAATACAAGGTTGATTAAACTTCTTCAATGGTCAGGGACTCCCTTCCATACAAGAGAGTTTCTTTGAAGTGAGCATGTGTTCTGGGCAAAGCACACAGCAGCAACAGTGCTTGATCTTCATCATCGATCTTCACATCAATATTTTCAAGATCAAGAATCAGCTTGTTAAACATATCCAACTGCTCAGCCAACACTTTGTCTTCACTCATCTTGAATGAATATAAATCTTGTTTCAGGTATAGTCGATTCACCAGAGATTTGGTCATGTACAAACTTTCAAGTTTCACCCATAATCCCGATGTTGTAGTCTCCTTTGATACCTGTCGAAGAACCTTATCACCAAGGCTCAACAATATTGCGATGCGGGCTTTCTCGATCATGCCCGTCTTTTCTTTTGTCGTTAACGCAGCGTCCATGGCTGCCTCACCCTTCAACGCTTCCAAACAACCCTGCTGAACCAATAGGGCTTTCATCTTCAAGCGCCACAGACCGAAGTCGTTCACTCCGGTGAACTTTTCAATCTCATACTTTGTTGAAGGCATCTTCTCCACGCTCACCGCACCAATTTGTTGTGAATCGGATACCTTTAAACAAAGTATAAACGGTTTCTTAGCAAGAAACACACAAGGGTTATGGTTAATAAAGAAGAAAACAACAAGGATTGGTTATTAAACTGTTATTCTTTCCTTTCTCTTAGAACAAGATTACAAGTATACAAGAATAACAAAATAACCTCTCTCCCTTGAAATTAGGATTTTATCTTCCTATTTTTCCTTATGCCAAGATTGAGAAACTAGCATCCTATTTATAATAAAATAGCACACTAACCTAATGGGCTTTTTAACAATTACCCATTACAAGCCAACTTAGGGTACAAGCTAATTTAAACAATTGGGCTTACAAGCAAGGCCCAATTCAACATGCTAACAACCCTAGCAATATTGACTAATGCATGTTAAAACAAACTTCGACTACAACACACATTATTTGCAAACAGAGTTCGATCCAACGTCTCACAGTTTTGAACTGAAATTAGTGTAGAGAATGGATCCAAAATGTGTTTGTTTGAAGGTTTTAGAGTTAGCTATGATTGGGAAGTTAGTTGGTGTGTTTTGTAGGGAGATTTGAAGCTTAGAGGCAATTTAGGAATTGCCCTAGCACACGTGGCATTGGGTTTGATAGTTGGCAGTTAGATTTGTTAGATGACAGTTAGAAACTTGTAAGTAGTTAGTTTTGACAGTTATGTTGGTTATAATGTCACAATTTGTTAGAAGTTAATGACAATTAGTCTAATAGGTTATTAGTTGTTAGGCTAAATAGTTAGTTAGATGTTAGTTTAGTTTGAAACTAACTTGTAATGTAAGTTAGCAGCGGTATGTTAGCATTTGGTTAAGGTTAATGGCTTGACAGTTAGGGTAGTAGTTTGTTAGTTATTAGGTTAGATAATTAATTAGGACCTACAACTGACTTGGTCAGTTAGGGCAGGTATTTCTGTATATGCAACTGACATGGTCAGTTAGTAGGTTGTGGGCTTGTAATTAGAAGCTTGTAATTAGAAGCATTAGGGCAGTGTGGTCTTGGGTATGCATGTTGAATGACACATTTGGATTACATTGCTTTCTTTAAAATGATGGTACATGTTGCTATTCTTGTTGTGAATGTGTATCGGTAATATGTATATGATGTCATTTCGATGGGACCTGTCGTGGTAGCTTGGATGTGTGCATGGTATGTATGTGTACATATTTGGAACTATCATTACAGTTGGGCTGATTGGTATGTTTGTATAGTATGTAAGCTTTAAGTTAGGCATGATGGTGTGTATGTGTATCTATAACAATATATAAAGGGAATACTTTGTTTTGGTGTGCCTTATTTTTCTACCATTTTTACCCTTGCTTTATTATATAATTTACTTAATAACTTTTTATTATTAACTTCCACATAACTTCTTATTATTAACTTCCACATATTGTATTTTTTTAAAAATTTATTTAAATAAAAAATATCGTTTATATTTTCATTCATGCGCATTAAAAAAGTGGACCGAGTGTCCGTCTAGACGTTAGTAGCTATAATTTTGAGACCTAAAACCCTTGCGTGAATCGTCTTACTCTTGAACTGACCTACACCATATTCAAAGAAAAAATTGTCAGTTTAAGTTTATAAAAGTTGTTTCTTAAACTAATACGAATTAGTTTATATGAAATTACTTTTTCCTTGAGTGATGCAACATTATAGCTTACTAAGAACATATCATAATGAAATCTTAGGATCATTAAAATACTATTATGCAATCTGATTTTGAATAAAAAGTAAAGTTTGTATATTTTAACTTTCTTGAAAGTAATTTGTCACAGTTCACGTTTGCAATTCTAATACTCTTTCTCCTATATTGTGGTATAGAATTCAAGACATGTTATTCTTCTAAATTGCCCACCTACTATACGAGCATTAATTGAGCAATGTTGGTCCTTGAATCCTGACAAAATGCCTGAGGTCTGGGAGGTTGTTAAGGTGTTAGAGCAGTTTGAATCTTTGCTTGCTTGCTCCTGCTCATTGGACTCACAAGCTTGCTCCTGCTCATCAAAATATTGGTCATGTGGTTAAACCAAAATTTGCACGAATCTCCTGAATGTTGTGACTTTTGTAGTACACTAGGTTCATTGTAATTAATATTAAATAGTTTAAATACAAATCCTCTTAAAAGAAAGTTGTTTTTGGTTTTCTGGCTGTAGTTTTCTTTATAACATTCATATGAGAGTTGTAAATTGATCTGTAGTATTAGCTTTTCTTAAGTGCACATTTGTCTGTCTTTATTTGTTATATAAGCCAATAAGGTACTTGCAATGTTTTACTCTTTTTATTTGATGCACAGGTAGACATCAAAAACAGAGTTATAATTGTTGATCCTTCTTCCTGAACCAAGCCAAACAATGGCCACCTCAAAACCGATATCCCCATTCCGACTATCCTCCCTCCTCCGATCCCAAAAGGACCCATCCCTCGCATTCCAACTCTTCCTCAACCCCAATCTTCAAAACCGCCCATTCCACTATTCCCTCCTCTCCTACGACCTCATCATCACCAAACTCGGCCGCGCCAAAATGCTCCCTCAAATGGAACTCATTCTCCAACAACTCCACAACGACACTCGCCACCGCGTCCCCGAACCCCTCCTCTGCCACGTCATCTCCTTCTACGCACGTGCCCGTCTCCCTTCACGTGCCATTCAAACATTCCTCTCTATCCCCTCCTTCCGCTGCACCCCTACTCTCAAATCATTCAACTCCCTCCTCAATGCTCTCCTCACCTGCCGCCAATTCCAAACAATAGCTCAATTCTCTTCCCGCTTAACCCAATTTGCCCCCCCAAACACCTGCACCTACAACATCCTCATCCGATCCTCCTTCTTTCAAGGCTATGTAATTCGTGCCTTGGAGCTGTTCGATGAAATGCGCAGCAAAGGCGTTCGTCCCGACGAGGTTACATTCGGGACATTAATCCACGGGCTTTGCAAGAATTCGCGCTTGCATGAAGCTTTCCAAATGAAAAAATTGATGCTTGAGGAGTTCAAGTTGAAGCCATGTGTTTCTGTTTATACTAACTTGGTTAAAGGAGTTTGCGAGATTGGAGAACTTGATTGGGCATTTAGAATCAAGGATGAGATGGATAGGAAGAACTTGAGGTTAGATGCAAATGTTTATAACACTTTGATCAATGCGCTTTGCAAGGCGGGGAGAAAAGAAGATGCTTTAAGGGTTTTGGAAGAAATGAAGGAGAGTGGTTGCCATTGGAATTCGGTTACTTGTAATGTAATGATTGGAGAGTTTTGTAGAGAGAAGAATTTCAAAGAAGCTTATAGGATTTTGGATGGGGTGGAAGGCATTAAGCCTGATGTTTTTGGTTACAATATGGTGATTGGTTGGTTATGTAGAGAAGGCAAATGGAGTGAAGCAAATGATTTGTTTCTGGATATGCCACGACGAAAGTATGTTCCTGATGTTGTCACTTACCGTACACTGTTTGATGGACTTTGCCGGGGGATGCAGTTCCAGGAAGCCGCATTTGTCTTGGATGAGATGTTGTTTAAAGGGTATGTTCCCCTTTCCAAGAGTTTGAATGGATTTGTTGGTGCTTTGTGCAAGGAAGGGAACTTTGAGTTGCTGTCTACAGTTTTGAGCGGGTTGGCAAGTAAAAGAGATTTTTGCAATGAGAGTATATGGAACACTGTAGTTTCTGTGGTTTGCAACCAGGAGAAGTTAGCTGTGGAGCCATTTGAAACTTTTGATGCCTTGGTGGTGGCATGAACTGTATTCTGCTTTATCATTGGTAGATTTGGTTTAACCAAACACACAAGTTGAGATTCTGTTCTTCTTCATGTACAAAACATGATTCTTGACATTTCAAATATCATGACTATCCTGCCTTGTTGTTGGGAATTCTCCTAGTTTTATCGCCATCAATGTATGATTATCCGATTTTATTGTCTTTGTAGGACCTTTTTGTTGTTTAGTTCATTGTTTTAAATTGCAGTCTTTATTGGGGTTACATTGTGATCCTTCATATTAGAAGAAATTGGAGGCAAATGCAATCGCAATTGTTGTCGCACTGAGGCTCTGTAGATCTCCCGTCGCGATGTGGTCACGGAGATCTCCAAACCCTTTACAGGCTGCAATTTGTGGTTGTCGACTACAATGTAAAACCATGCTTGAGGGTTCAGTTGAAATAGGTGTTTATATGTTTTTTGTTTTGTTTTGTTTATGTACTCTTTTAACAGGTTAGTCCTATTGAATATGGGCATGTGCTGCTGATTCCTCGAATTTTCGAGTGTTTTCCCCAAAGGATTGATCACGCAAGCTTTTTGCTTGCCCTTCACATGGCAGCCGAAGCCGGAAATCCCTATTTTCATTGGGTTACAACAGCTTGGGGGCATTCGCTACTATTAACCATCTTCACTTCCAGGTACTCATTACTGAGCAAATTGAGAATAGATTAAATTACCACCATATTGTTCAAATTGGTTATTGGCTTGTTGCATTTCTTATTTAGTGTTCCGGAACTAATGAAAACATGATTTTGACAAATCTAGGCATATTATTTGAAGCTGCCTTTTCCAATTGAGAAGGCTCCTACTAAGAAAATCAGCAAACTAAATGGTGATGTGAAAATATCTAAATTGTTGAACTATCCTGTCAGAGGTCTTGTCTTTGAGGGTGGGCATGCATTGGATAATTTGGCGAATACTGTTTCTGAAGCCTGTATCTGTCTTCAACACAACAACATACCTTACAATGTTCTTATTTCTGACTGCGGAAGGCGAGTTATTCTCTTACCACAGGTAAATTTGTCTACGAATCTACAGCGTAGAACCCCTGCTGTAGCTGCTATTTATAAACTCTAAACCATAGTTTGCACAATTGATATTTTCTGTAACTAATTTAATTTGAAAAACAGTGCTATGCAGAAAAACAAGCTCTTGGAGAAGTGAGCGCTGAGCTTCTGGACACTCAAGTTAATCCGGCCGTCTGGGAAATCAGCGGCCACATGGTGTTAAAGAGGAAAAAGGACTTTGATGAGGCTTCTGAAGCCAATGCTTGGAGGCTTCTCGCCGAGGTATCTCTCTCTGAAGCGAGGTTTAAAGAAGTCAATTCTTTTATTTTTCAAGCCATTACATCTGACAAAATTGAAGTCACGCTCGAGCCTCAGTGCATAGAGATATCAGATGCAGTAAGCTCAAGCACTACTCAGCCTTCTATGGTGGCTGGTTCACACGAATGCCTTGTTCTCCAGCAACAAACAAGGCTATGGTGAATAAATTGTCAGTCATTTTAATTTACTGTTGTTTCTGCTATGAATTTCTATGTTTGAAGTTGAAGTATTGTAATTGCTTCAAAATTTGATGGAATAAGAGGTTTGTATGATGGTGTGCTTCTCACGGTCTATTGAAAATAATGACACAATCTTTTGAGCTTATTGACCATTGCTATTACTTTTATGTATTTTACTCATCAAAGTTACGTTTGAATATATATATATATATATATATATATATATATATATATATATATATATATATATATATATATATATATATATATATATATATATATATATATATATATATATATATATATATATATATATATATATATATATATATATATATATATATATATATATATATATATATATATATATATATATATATATATATATTCATTTTTATTTGGGTGTAACACTTCAATTTTGCTACATAATCCCATACCAGTGGAAAGCATGACACAGAGAGGATATGTTTATATATAACAATATTCTCTGGGTTGAAAGGGGAAGGTGTTTTAGTACATTGAAGCATCTAGAAGAAATATTGTAACTAATTACTTAAAAGACAAAAAAGAGATTACTATTTCTTAGTTGTCTTTTTTGTCAATATTGTCCGGCAAAAGAATGGAGTTTTATATAGCTGCAAATTATATAATGTCAGGGATTATAAAATAATATAATCTTTGGTCAAAATTGATGTGCATGTGAGACAGGCAACCTTTAATTTGTAGTCAATTTTTTTTTTAACAAACCCTCATTTCTTGCAAACCAAAGTATTACAAAAGGGAGACTTTCAAAGGCATATACAGTGTATTTTGTACAGAGTCCTTCATAATGCCGCTATAAATGAAGTTAAAAATGGTGAGAGTGATGGATAAAAATGGTGAGAGATGGAATTGAGATCTAAATTGGTCATGTAATCGGCACAAATATTTCCTTCTCTATACAAATATTTCCTAAGTAACTAAACTAATAATTTCTAAGTTGTCAAGGTAGTAGAGAATGCTTTTGGAAAACACGACACTAATAACTACACTGAATTTTGCAAGGTAGAAGGATGACCATTCAACCTTGTTAGTAAAAGCAAGCGCAAAATTTCCTTGATTATTTAAAAAAATTTCACCACAACCGGCAAGAAGAGAATTATGGTGGTAAGCTCCATCACAATTGCACTTTAATCAATTTAAATTTGAAGATGATGCCGCAAGACTTTTTTGGTTTGAGGAGGACGCAAGAAGAGAATTATGGTGGTGAGCTCCATCACAATTGCATTTTAACGCAAGGAGAGAATTATGGTGGTAAGCTCCATCACAATTGCACTTTAACCAATCTAGATGGGGACGATGCCACAAGACTTTTTGATTTGAGGAGCACGCAGTGACCTAATAACACGCTTGAGGGCTTTGATGATTTGGAAATCATTCACAAACAATGAATCAATAGCTTTTGAGTTTGTCCCTATCAACATAATTTGATCTTTGATTTTGTTTATTGTGCGCAAGATATTAGGAAATTCACCTCTAAACTTGTCAAAATTCCTCACCCCCACAAGTTCTTTAGGGTGTAAGTAATTGAAGTTTTGAGAAGTAAAAAACATTGTCTTAATCTGTTAGTAAAGCAAGCCGTCCAAAAATATTCCATATTGCTGACAAAGATATGGGTTAAAACAATGTTCTTTACTTAGGGTTAAATATGCACTAATTGTTAAATATGTAATTCATTGTTTTAGGAAGATTAAATTTGGTTTAGAAAGATCACATTTGATTTAAAAAGATTAGATTAGATATTTTTGAACTTTGCCTTGGGTGCAAGCTAACCTAAATCTATAAATAGAGAGAAATCCTTATTTTGTAAACATCTCATCTCACCTCATCATATTTTGTAATTTAGTTTGTGGGCAGAGAGTTCTCTGTGGAAAATTGTTTATCCTTTTCTTCTCCAACGTTTCTCCATAGGTTGTGGTTGAATTTTCAACATCTGGTATCTAGATCATTTAACTCCCTCCTCAATGCTCTCCTCACCTGCCGCCAATTCCAAACAATAGCTCAATTCTCTTCCTGGTTACAATATGGTGATTTGTTGGTTATGTAGAGAAGGAAAATGGAGTGAAGCAAATGATTTGGATGAGATGTTGTTTAAAGGGTATGTTCCCCTTTCCAAGAGTTTGAATGGATTTGTTGGTGCTTTGTGCAAGGAAGGGAACTTTGAGTTGTTGTCTACAGTTTTGAGCGGGTTGGCAAGTAAAAGAGATTTTTGCAATGAAAGTATATGGAACACTGTAGTTTCTGTGGTTTGAAACCAGGAAAAGTTAGCTGTAGAGCCATTTGAAACTTTGATGCCTTGGTGGTGGCATGAACTGTATTCTGCTTTATCATTGGTAGATTTGGTTTGACCAAACACACAAGTTGAGATTCTGTTCTTCTTCATGTACAAAAAATGATTCTTGACATGATCCACTGTTAGGTCATGAATGGCGTATAGGCTAACACCAACTCATCATACCATCATTAGCTTGGCAAGTCTAGCGCACATAAACACATTCACAATTTTAAATATAACAGTTATAAAAAATTTGGCCTTCAAATGTCCAAGTTTGTCTTTTGGCTGCTGCTGTCTTGAATGATAGTTACAGTTAACCAATTCTATTCACTTGGCCTTCATATGTAAAATTTGGCCGACACTGTTGAAGTTTATCTTTTGGCCATTACTATCTAAAATGATAGTTACAGTTAAACAACTATATTCACCTGGTCTTCATATATCCAAATTTGTCTTTTGGATGGTATGATACCACATTTTCATATTAAATACTAAGAAGATAAACAGTATTTTATATTGGTTCTTCAAATTAATTTATGGAATAGCTGTGTTGGTTATCAAAATTTTGTAAACATGAGGATATGACTCGTATTCATGGTTTAGAATTTTGAGTGAATTTTATCCCAATATGCTTTTGTGAATGAAGTCGTCATAGCTGCTACAAATGAAATATTGCATTGCATAATCAATGATATAGTCCAGGATGTTATCTGACATAAACTTCCGTGCTTTATATGCCAATGTGTTGGCAAGAATGTCATACCGTACATATGGCTTACAACAAGGTTGTTATCAAGTTACATGCTCACAGGCAACAGAAAGTGCAAATCATATTTTGTACACCATGGTCTGATTGCAAAAGAAAACAGTGTTTTCTTACTTCTATTTAAACTTTGGTTTGAGACTCAAAGTCATGTTCAGATATAAGTCTATTGAGTTTTTGCAAAACATTTGTTTATGGACGAACATCAGTTTATATCTGTAGTTTGGGAAATGCAAACTAAAATCTAAAAATGCAAATCTAGCATATTTTAGTTTCAATTACTAAAGTAGTTTTGTGACTGATTAGTTGCAATTGCGTTAGTCTGTTGTTGAATTGTTGATTAAAAAAGAGTTGGTAATTTCTTATCCTTTAATGCTTGGTGCATGCTTCCTTTGCTACAAA